GGGTGTGGGGTATACCTGTGTTGTATTAGGTGTCAATATCCGCTGTAGACAAAATACCTGTTCCTGGTAAAAGATAACATTTGATTATGTGGCAGTGTGTGTGTAAATGACCTAATAACTCTTCCAAGACTTAACTGTTTGGGAAGTTATTATGTGGCAGTGTGTGTATAAATGACCTAGTAACTCTTCCAAGACTTAACTGTTTGGGAAGTCCATAATGTTTTTATTTTAAAACATATAGTTTAATCATGAGACATAACAGGAGAAGTATAACATGAAAATAGATATTCATGCCAACCAAGACAGATACAGGTTTTTTCGTCAAGTGACCTGTCCTCATAACTTCTGTGTCTGAAGTCCTATAAGTTAGTCCCTCACTTACTCGACTGCACAGTTCTAGCTCACAGGTTCTGTCAAACCTAGATCACAGGCCAAAAGAAGAAAGCGACATCAGACATTTCTGCACTGGACTCCTCAAGGCCTGCATAATCATGGACAAACACAGAGAGAGATGTTAATCAAACAGAATGGTAATAATGTCATGAAGCACAAACACACAAAAAAAGCAGCTCTCAATGAGTCACTTCGGGAAAGCCAGATCAATCGTATCTCTCAGATCTACCATAGTCAGCTGTTTCAGAGATCAAGCATGACCACGTGCTTGAGACACACAGTATCATAAATGATACCAAGCATAAATTGCACTAGACAGTGTACGTTAGAGGTAACAGAACTACAAGCTGTGTTGTAAGAACATTATGTTACAAATATTTTATATAAAAAGAATTACATAAAAGCTTTCTTCACGCTAGCCCTAAGCACAGCTCTACATGAGCCCTGTTTCTCCTTTCACATTAGACAGCTGGATGCTGCTTACGTTTAAGGCACCCTGAAGACATTAAATAAATACGAGAAACAGGATCCTAGCCTCAGGCACAAGTTACGTATTTAGACAGGCACTCCTTCCCTGATCAGTCAGCACTTCTGAAACTCGGAGCACATAAATTTGACCATAGAAAATAAAAGACTAACAACTAGTCGATGAATTGAAGAGTATTCAAATAGGAAGCCTTACAGGATAAGCACATACAGTATGAATATCCCAAGGACATCTGCACCCACCGCTCCCTTGCTCAGTCAACCAAGAGTACGCTGCCCTTTCTTTGTATGCAGACGTGGCCTTGCATGTGGATAGCGCTATGGAATCTGTGCGTCACAGAGCGTCATCAGCATCTTTCCAGCATTTGTTTCTCAAGACATCCAAGTCACATCAGCACTAAGATTCATCATATCTTGTTTTTCAAATGGCTTCAATGCATCTTACAAGACATCTTCACAAATAAATGTGATACTATGAAGGTGCAATGTAAAATCATAATCAAAAGGAGTAGCTAGTGGTTCACAGGCAAACTGGTAAAATTATGAAGTAGGACTGTGGAGGAATCTGCCTGAAGTCAAAGCAGAGAGTAAAGGAGGGCCAAGCACTTCCTAGTCAGGATTAGAATTGAAAGCGATCTTGAAAAATAAAGAAATGCTTGAAGGGGTGCAACACCCATACACAAAAAATGCAGCATTATCTAACCCAGTAGGGTTTACTAGGTAAAAATCTGCTGCACAAGTGCAAAAATGGGGAAACTGTGTAGCCACAAGTTTGGCAGAAAGGATCTCAAGTTATAGAGGATCGTAAACCGAGTGCTTAGCGCTTGGTGCTGACACCAAGTATGTTGAAATGGGAGGCACTCATGCGCAGCTGTTTAGTATTTTGGCTCCAAGAGGCAGTTTATTTTGCATTACGTCTTATACGTCATACATCAATAGGCTCATCTTTGTCCATCCACCATTAAATATTTCGTTAACTGATTTTTAAATTTCTTTTAGGTATTATGCACATTTTTTACTGATCATATGAATAAACCTCCTAGGTGTATGCTGAAGACACAAACTATACTGACATTATGCTTAGAGTATTTCACAGGAAGAAATTTTTTCTCAGATGACTAATTTCAGATAGTAAATCTCTCAACTCCTACGAGGTTAAAAGCATAGTTAAAGGTGGTCTAGACTGTGGTCTTGTTGACTTGAGTTCTGTCTTCAAATTTGATCTCTGCCTGTCCCAGAGATCATCTTTGGAGGGCTGCTCTACCTTTAGCAGTTTTGTTTAGCATGTTCCCTGACAATTTGGAATTATTTTTCCCCATTATACATAGCTGTTATGGAGGAGGGAGCTTTCAGCAGTTAAGCCTTTCATCACAACAGCAGTGAGGTGTCCCTGCACTACAGAGCTAATCAGAGCCACCCAAACATAAATCGTTTTCCTCCTCTTGAACAATCTTCTGATAGCGCTGCTGATTAGATGGGTAGGTGTATTTACAACTACAGAAGAACTACAGTGAAACAACTATTTTAGCATCCAGAACTGCCCAAGACAAAACCATGAATTCTTCCCTGGATAGCAAAAGACATCATCACTCCTCAAGAGTCAAAACCCTCCAATTCCCCAGTGACCACACCTGTACAGCAACCTTCCAAACACGCAAACGTGCAGGATGCTGAATTTCCACAATTCTGTATTGCATTCACGATCCCTGATTTCACGTATACATGAACAATAAACTTCAAGAAGTCCATTTTTAACATTCAGACAAAAGTTGAGGTATTTCCAGTCTCTCTCAAAAGTTCAGCTACTGAATGTTGAGACAAGAACACCTGAAGGAATTTTACAGCAGCTTGAATATTTAGTACTAACTTTGAATCTGCAGGTATATTTGAATTGAAAAAGATCCTGAATTTTAGTCTGACCACTGTTCCAACACACACATTTTATAACGACTAGTATCTATTTCCTAATACAGTATTTAGTTTCAGTATGATGCTTATCTCCCCACAATTAAGGGCTCCATCAGCCCTTACTCATATTCCCAGATAGGAATTTAAAGGTTTGGGATCATGGCTGGGCATTGTTTATTTACATAAATAGGCTCTGCCCAGCTCAATCTTAAAAGCAGCCTCAGTGTGCTGCACTTGCCATTGAAAATTAAAATAAGTACTAGTCTGTCAGCTGCTTCAAACAAGATTGCTAACAGCCTGACAAAGTTCAGGTTTTCTAAACCTATAATACTACTCAGGTGAATGTGAATTTGAAGTGTTAAAGTGATGGCTATCAAATTAAAAAAGCTAGTTTAACAGTTTATGCAGTTGAATAAACCTCAAAGTCTAATATGCACATGAATAAAGGTGCACCAGAAATACTAAAAGATTACTCACAGCACATATGACCATTTATACATATCAAAGCTGTAATGTATTCCTATCCAAGTAAAGAGAAGGCAACTTCTATCCACTGTGACAGACTATATTGAAAAAGGAGTTTCCACAGAAGATGATTTGAGGGGAAGAAATCACAAACATCAGTTACACAGGAAAACAAAAATCCCACCCTCAAAACACTCCAAGTAGTCTTTGCCACAACACTTGAGTGAACCCAGTGTATGATACTCACAAAGCAAGACAAATAGACAACAGAAAAAGCTCAGGTGATACAGGTTTTCAAGACACCTTTGCTAATTTAAAGGGAATGACTCATTACTCTTATAAAGTTACTTATGCAGTAAGTCTAGAACTATCCTGGATTTTTCTCAAGTTCAACCATTTAGCTGAGAGCCTGCAGACCAAACTGAGCTTTAACTGCGTCAAACCACAAGGCTCTCCTTTCTGGAGGCACATTAAGGTTCTCGCATGAAATCTGATCATCGGCACAGTAGAATTAATGACAGAGTTGGTCAGGCTGATAAACTAGCAGAACAGAAACCTGCCTAAATGAGCATGGAACTGCATCTAAGATAAGGTCCTAATGCATTCTCACCCCTTTGTGCCAAAACTGAAGCAGAACTTCTTTGAAACCCATGTGAAAGAGGCAGCTTTATCGCTCATTGTCTCCCTGCAGGAGGTCTGTGGTTGTTTCTGGGAAAACAGGCCCTAGATACTCAAGACATCTACCACGCCTCTCGGAGTAACGCCACTAGCTGCAGACTGACACCATGTGATGTCTAGCCTACCTTACGGAAACAGGGAATGGCAGAGAAAAGTTTTTCCAGTTATCAGACTTCTTTATGCACAGGAAGGCAAACTGAGTATCAGGGATTTGTCTCAATGCAAATTCTCAAATAGCTGTTTGTTTCTGTATGCTGCTACCTGATTAAAGCAAGTGCTCTCTTAAAATAAGATATTCTTAATAAATCCCTTACTAATGGATGCTGAGTCTCCTTTACTTTTAGCCACTTTTTCCCCACCTACTTTTAGTTCCTAATGATCAATAATACTGTACCTTTCTGCTAGATGTGCAGGCATCTTGCCTCAGAGCACTTCACCATGATGTTCCTCAACAACACATGGTAGAATATTATAACTATTTCACCCAGTAAAAGTCTGTTTACAAACTATATACCTATTTGACTAAAAAATTTTTGAAGTCACAACATAAAAATTATTCGCAATACCACTGTAGGATAAATTCATAACCTAAACACTGGAAAAGTCCAAGTATTAAAAAGAGTTACATCCTGAATTTACAGAATAGGAAAAGACACAATGTCAAATCAGCAACATAGACTTAAGACAAAACTACTCCAAAACGTGAATTCCCAAACTCACACAAACCAAGACCTCTTGTTCCCCAGTTACTTAGAGATGACCTAAGTCTATTTGCACCCTTACACACCTCATAGCAGCTTCACCATAAAAGCTGGAAAGATGCGTTCCAGCGGCACATAGAGCTTTAAAAATTAGTTCATTTCGTGTTAAGAAATATCTGGCTACAAAAACAATTGCTATAAAATGCACTACAGAAAGTTGTCAAAACAGGAAAATTAGAAGAAAAAGCAAACCAAAAAAAACCCCCAAAACAAAACTCTTAGTTTAGTTGGTATACACGCTGGCTTGTACATTTTCAGCACCAAACATGAAGCAATCAGCATGAAGAGAGGAAAGAACTAAATACATACCTTGAACACCTCAGAGAAGAAACCAGAGCCAATTTTCTCACATGTGAAGTCATCAAGACGAGTAAGTCTGGAAAAGGCACTTATCAGGGCTCTGTATGAAGAGGTACAAACTCTTCCTATCTGGGATGCAGTTCCTTCTCCTCCAGTGCCACCGTCCAAGTCTTCAACGCGCTCCAAGCGTGGTGGAAATCCTGCTATTGAATTCCGCTTACTTCGGTCCATTTTGAAAATAAGGTTTTATTTTGCTAAGGGAGAACTTCTCACATCTTAGGTAATTTGCTGTCTTCTTTACTTGTGTTGGATCCTAAAATAAAAAAATTTTAAATTACCATTACTGTAAATACATAGGACTCCAACACAGCTTACATCAGTTTAAGAGAAAAGCGGAAAAAAAGAGCAAAAGATATCCAAGCATGAAAAAAAAAAAAAAGGAGAAAAAGGATCATGAAAAAGGAAAAAAAAAAAAAAGAACCTACCACAACCAGCCACACAGCACCATCAGCAAAGACAATCTAATGAATTCTTCCTTTAGATTCATGAAAATACCTTACATCCTGGTTATTATGAGATGAATAGTTTTGGAACTCTAAACGTAATGTCCTATCCTACTTCTGTAGTAGTTGGTGTCCAATTTACTGCTATTGCAAGAAATCACTTCACATTAGTGACTGAACAAAGGATCCCTAAGTACAAAATACACATCAATTTTCAGCTGAGATAAGTAAAATTATTAGTTGCCAATAACAGTAGCTGGAGCACCAAAACCTTTGTTTCAAAGCTTCCACCTGTGAGTGTTCCAGGACCAATTCCTTAACCAATAGGAACACAAGTTTATACCCACTAAAGATCGAGCCCCCACATTTATAAACACAACAACAATCCTGCTACAAAACCAAAGTATTCTTATAAGAAACTGTCAGAACAATTCTCCCCATAAACACATTTTTTAAAGCTATATTCATTTCAGTTCAACGGAAAACACAGGAAGCAAGTTGCATTTGGCAAGTGGTGGGGTGGAAAAGGTGGGGGGAACCAACAGTATGGGAATTTTTTTTTTTTTCTTTTTAAGAGGATGATGAAGTAATCAGGATGACCTTGGAGCCCATCAATTTCATCTTGGACTGGCAGACTTGACAGGTGGCCTACATTTTTTTCTTTTTTTTTTTTAAAAAACATAGGAGGTTATTCATCTTTTCCACACTTAACCTTTCATTAACAGCAACAGTGAGCCCCTACAAAAGCTGAACAAAATTAGCAGTCACAAAGACAACAGATTTCTCTCTCTCTCTTTTCTTTTTTCTTCCCTGAGGATGAGTAAAAAAAACAGAGGGAGGGGAAGGAAACAATTAAAAATAGTTTTAAAAAAGGTGCACCAAACAATCGTGAAGCAGGGAGCAGGACAATTATACTTCTACTTACACAGATGTACAGAACCTGAACAATACACTAAATCTGAAGAGCATCAGAAAAACAGAGACACACCAGCTGTCCTCTGAATATAGAGCAGTGCTGCAACGCCCATGTTTTATATGTGGTGTATCTTTCAGAGATGCTCTGTGCCAACACATCAGAAAAACACATAGTCCTTCTTGTTGTCTTCTCCAAAAAAGGAAAAAAAAAACACCTCCAAAAAACCCAACTCTGTATTTTTCAAAGGTATTTATTTCAACCATTTTAACACTTACCTCTTTCAGTCCGTGGGTATGACAGAGTCTTACCAAGGTCTCATTAAGAAATCTTAATCTCTATCAAGTCCCACATCGTGGTATTCCTACAGAATTTTCTATGCACGCTTTCCCACATGCGTGAGCTTACCACACTTCTCAGATGATAGTACTACACAGTCTGATGTTACGGTGTGGCTGGCTGCCACACAGATCAGGAGCCAATTTCTGACCTCATATTCTTGCCCCATGAGTCTTGGGAGGGTCTGGAAATGGTACAGAAGCACCATGGAAAGATAAGCCTGTTACACCTCCCCAGCTGAGAAAAATAGCCCAGAAAATCTCAGCTACAAAGATGTCCAGGAATTTCCAAGGCATGCTTAAATAATTCCTTTTGATCTGAGAGGGACAAACTACCATTTGGTTACTTTTCAAGGAGGTAAGGAAAGAACTAGCTACCTATGGAAGGAGGACAGACAGGAAACCACATTGTTATCAACTCATTTTATGGAACAAGGGATGGAAGAATCTTTGGAGACTGACCAGAAAACCTGTTGTAATTAATCAATTCTTTAGAAATTACTTGCACGACATTAGTACCCACATGCACTAGACCCTTTCCAAGGAATGGAGCAAGCCTTTGCCCCAGAAACGCCCAGCGACACTCCAGTATCACAGTTACACCACACGGAAGCGGACCCTGGAGCTTGGTGGACACCTCTGCTAAATCTAACGAAACAACACACACCTGCTGCAGCCCGGTGAACTAAGACAACCTGTAAATCACAACTCTAAATTTAAAGTTCTCAAGCAAAGCAAGATGTGTGCAAAAAAGAAAACAGGGAAGATGCCAAGTTAGGTAAGCAGTTTTAAACGGGAGTAAAAGCCTAAATCTGTCTGTCGTAAGTATCCAGATACCGTTAACAAAAGATCAGCTCTCAACATAGTCTCACAATCCATTTAACAAAAAAAGAAAAAAAAAAGTCTCCCTCACACATACACATCCTTTTGATTGAAATCACATGGTGAACTTTGTAAAACTCTATACAAATCCCACAATGAAAGAAGAGATTCAAAGTACTTCACACAACATAAACCCCACAAGGTTTTGCCATCTGGATTCCCAAGTAATCCATTCCTTCATTTTTGCCTGCTAGCGTTTGCCTTCTTTCCAGACAGCCACACGAAAACCTTGGAAATTATTAGGATAGACCTCCATTTGTCTAGTATTCTGCCCAGGATTGCATACACAGAATTAGAGGAAAAATTCAAGTGGGCACAACTCCAAGTGGGCCTCCTGTCATTTTGGCCAATTACACTAATGATCACATTCTCAATGAAATCAGCCAAGGTTTAATTGACTGTCAAGTCAGTCTGAGGTACTTTAATTTACTACCTTGTATGGTTAATTAAAGTGCACTGAACAGAATCCAGGACTATCCTGCAAAACCTGCAACCAACTAAAAGGTTGTTGGGTGGATTTTTTTCATAGTAAAGTTCAACTCAAAAACTCTTATTGGATGCTTGACAGTAAAAAAAAAAAAAAGACACTAAACAGTCTAAAAAACATTTATGAATAAATTCTCAGTTTTCATACTGATTTTTTTTGACATCCTTATACAAGAAAAAAGCAGTCCACTCTGCTGAGACAAAAACAATTATCTAGAAATGCACCTCTCAAAAAGCCTACCTGCTCTACTCATCCATTTATTACATTACTGAAAATAATGATTTCTGAATGTTTCATGTCCTACTGCATATTAATTTCATTTTTAAAAAAACAAAATGTGAAGGGAAAAAAAAATCCACTTTAATATTATATTAAGGTCAGTTTCTCCACTGTATGAATGCATTGTTTTGTTTTTTTTCATTGTAGAAATTACCATGAATACAAATGCTAACAGCATTTATTTGGTTAATTAGAGGTTTGGCTTTCAAAAATCAATGCCTAGGCCTGCAAATATTCACAGATGGAAACCCCACAACAGCACATCAAGTTATACCTCACACAACAACATAAAATTAACAGGTGACATATACTAACCAATATTTAATATTTTATACTTCTTAGACAAAAGTGGGTAAGATTTCTCAACTTTGGCAGCATCCCTTGAATATCTCAGGTTAATAAAGTAGACCCTCACAAAAAAAATTACAATAATTCATTACTATCATGTGTTCTGTCTCCACTATCTTTATATATGCATATGTGCACTCAGATGTCAAACTCCCGATTTCCTACAAGATGGCCTTTACAACAACAACCATTTTTAGACATAGAAGACTGTCGCTAGGCATTCAGCCTGGAAAGCAATAAATCTGGTGGCTGCATGTTATTAATTCGAAAAGGTTTTCTGAAGAACAAGATGCCAAAGCTTTGACATAATTCATTTGCCAAGAGTTAACTATATAAATTCACAGTCTGATGTGACTTCAAACCGCAGTACTACTAAAACATCAAAGAATTATGCTAGAAAGTGCCATTTAACAAAATAACTTGGGGAGGAAGAATTCACTGTAGTAATATGCACATTTCAGAAAAGCTTCAAAGGAATGAAAGAACAAAATCTTCCGCAGATTGAACTGACTTTGAGGTCATTAGCCTGGAGAGAAAAAAAATTAAACAAAAAACGTTTGGGAATGAAACACAAGAAATCAAGCTAAACAGGTAAAAAGAACCAGACGTTCCACAATTTTCTCCTCAACTGCTGTCATCTGCTCTCCTTGGTTTGTCCATAACTTAGCTTCTTGGTTTGAGGAGAGAGATAATATTGAATATTTACAGACAAGCTGGCTACAAGTACCAAAAATTCTGTTTGGCCCACCTCATCCTGTAGCTGAAGACTTTTTAACTGCTTTTACAGGGTAAGTCTTAGTTTATAGTCTTAGTTATGACACTACTCAAACATGAAAATCCCAACATTTTCTGTTTTCGTTTAGGTAACATTTTGCTTTAATTTGATCCCCCCTGTAGGGGATAATTCCTTGCTCCAGCCGGTACTGTCATAGCACAAGCTCTCCCACAAATAGGGCTGGCATTCCTCAGAAGAGACCTGCATTAGTCCTGCTACACCACTCCAGAAACTGCAAGTCTGCTCAACTGCACGGTGGTTTTATAAAGCAAACAAACCTCCACGAGAGACTAAGCTGAAACAAACAGCTGATTTATTTTGTGATCATAGCCAAGTTTAAAACCAGTCAGAGAGACTAGCCATTAACTTACTGCAGAGCTCAGGATTCAAGGCCAAGGTTGTAGATTTAAAAATATTTGCACCAAACATAGGCATAAATTCTGGCACATGTAAGTGGAGTGGGGAGGAATATTAAAAACCCACAAACAAACAGAAAACCACTTGAACCCTATGCCCATAGTATAATTGCCAACAGTTTCTAGGGTCCAATTAAAATACAAAACTAAACCTTTACAGAAGCACCTTGCGAAACTCCATTCCTCTCCTAGCCTGGTTTTAGTCACTTTGGTTCACAGTGCAGACATGACTAGCCTAGTTACAGAGCATCGTTAGAGTTAAATAATCACTCGAGTAGATCATTTACAAT